ACCTCAGTAAGGCCTTCTGGCTGCCTTATCTAAAACTGTAGCCACTCACCCCTCTTCTGTGTCACTTCCCTTCTTCATTTTTCTCCATAGCACTGACGACTACCTAACATCCTCTGCATTTCGCTTCTGCATCACGTTTATTCTCTCTCTCCCCTATCAGAAAGTCAGCTCCGCGAGGTGGGGATTTGCGTCTGTCCTATTCACTGCCCTATCTCCATGCCTAGAACTGTGCCTGGTACATAGTAGGCACTCGGATACGTTTGGAATGAATAAATCCATGAACAGCATTATGCTGCCTCAGTTTCTCCCCTCAGAGACTCTAAGGGGTTGTACCAGAAGTGGGGTGACATTGTAGAACTGTGCCTGAAACCCAGCCAGGCAGTTGAGGCCAGTGCACGGGTTTAGGGATTCTAGTCCAGGATGACTGCTGACCTGCAGTGTAACGTAGATTTTAAAAGACAGGTGACATTCTGAAGTTAGTAAGTTTGCAGGCTTCCATGTGAAGTAGTACTTTTTATTATACCCACGTACAAGACTAATCTGGGACGTTGGCTAACAGCACCTCTCTGCTAATCGCTGTACAGACTCTGACCCTAATTCCTCATTCATTGTCTTCCTAGGATGGAAAGGCCCAAATCAGGTGTAAAGAGCAACAGCCTTGTGTTTGGTGCTAGTTCTCTTTCTGTCCTTTTACTTCCATGGCCAACCAAAAAATTGTATGCATCCTTATTGAATTAACAATTAATCAGAAGATATTAATTCAGTAATCAAGGAGTATCATTGCCAGACACTGAGTTGGTGCTGTGAATACAGCACTGCATGAACTGAGCAAAGGTGCGTATTCCCACGGAGCTTACATTACAGCAGTCTCTTTGGAGATGAACAACAAACAAGAAAATGCCAGGTAATAGTAATAAATTCTATGACAAAAATTTAGTAGATTGGCATGCTGGAAGAGACTAGAGGCTACTTCATGTTCAATAAGCAAGGAGAAAATTCTTCTGAGAAGCTAACATTTATATACATTTTTTTGGTGAGGAAGATTCATCCTAAGCTAACATCCATTGCCAATATTCCTCTTTTTTTTTTTTTGCTTCAGGAAGATTAGCCCTGAGCTAACATCCATGCCAATCGAGAAGCTAACATTTAAACTGAGACCTGACTGACAAGAAGGCTCCTGCCAGAGGAGGATTTGGGATGTATTATGTTAGGCAAGGCTGAGGGAACAAAACAGGCCAAAATTTCAATAGCTTATTCCAAAAAAAGAGTATTTCTCTTGGCTGTGTTATGGTCCAAGGCAGTCTTTCTTGGTTGGTGGGCAGCTCTCGTCCATGCAGTGATCGGAGAACCAGATTCCTTAGGTCTCGTCAGTCTGACATCCTCTTTGCTTCATCCTACTCTGTAGAAGAAGAAACAGGGTGATGAAGGAATACGCCCTCCTTTAGAAACCCAGTCTAGACGGGCGTCACTTTACCTCTGTTGACATTCCATTAGCGAGAACTTGATAAGACAGCCATGCCCACTGTAAAGGAAGCTGGGAAGCGTAGTTGAGCACTGTGCCTGCCTACAGTGCTATCAATGGAGAGAGCAGATTTGGGAGAACAGCTAGAGGCCTCTGCTGCCCTGGGCAAGAGCATCCCAGCAAAAGCCCTCAGCTGTGAACACATGAGCATTTTTGAGAAAAGCAAAGGAGGTGGGGGCTGGCCCACACCAGCAGAGAGATTAGCAGACGAGCAAGGAGAGTGGCTGGATCAGACCAGCTAAGGCCCTGGAGGCCAGAGAAAAGAGCATGGGTGTCATTGCACATGCTACGACAGGGAGCTGCTAGAGGCTTTTAAGCTAGGAGGTTGAATGATGTCCCAATTTTCGTCGACCCATCTTGCTGACTGGAGAGTGATGGGGAAGGAACGATTGGATGTTCCACATTTTTAAGATACAATCATCTAGATTAAAGCTATCTTGTTTTGGTTTACACAGTCCTAGAGTTGTAGATTGTCTGGGCTTAAAAGTACTGGAATTAAGGTGTGGGAACCTGGACCATTGCTGTTACGTACAACCGATCCCCTCCTGTCTCCCTGCTCGGATGGGGATCAGCTCACAAGCCTGATGGCCCAGGAAATATTTACTCCTTCATCTGGAAACAAATATAGTTGCCTTGAGTTGAGGGAAAAGGAAGGAATTAGTCCCTTAAATCATCCTCCACTTTTTTTTTTTTTTTTTTTTACAATCCTGTCCAACGACCTTTTAAGGATGTGGCAGGGTGAAGCTGCCAGAATTTTTTCCTCTCTGAGGCAGTACACGTCTTTGGAAAGGAGAGCAAAGGAGACTGGAGGGCCAGGTCTGCGGTCTCTGCGATCTTGCCTTCCTTCCCAAGTTCTTCCCTTGTCTGATGGGGTTCAGCAGTAGGAGACTTAGACGAGGACCATGTTTTTAAAAAAGAAGAAGAAGAACAAAATCATTTTCCTGTGTCACTGATTTGGAAACTAAAACAGAGTGATTTGCCCAAGGTCCTAGCATGAGTCAATGTAGGCTTTTGATTCTTGATGCCTCAGAGTCTCATGCACTTTCCACGTGATCGGCAAAGTCTTGTGCAATAAATTAGTGGGCTTCAATTTTGAGCTTAGAAGACTCCCAATAACAGGATTGATAGGCATCCTGGGTTTTTCGTTTTTTCAGTTGCCTTGTTTTTGACAGGCAAGGATGGATTCCATATTTGAGCTCTGGACATGGGGCAATTATCTGCCTATGAACACACACACTTGGCCTGCTCCGCTTCCCTGCAAGAAGTCTTGTGAGACTAAAATGTGCCTCTCTTCTCTCACCCACCGACATACCTATGCAAACCTTAGGCATTTGATGAGATTCCTAAGCAATGAGACCATAAGTTCCTCCTGAATGTTGTAAAAAGTTGAATGTGGGGCCAGCCCCTTGGTGCAGTGGTTAAGTTCCTGTGCTCTGCTTGGGTGGCCCGGGGTTCTCAGGTTCGGATCTGGGGGTGGAACTACATACTGCTCATCAAGCTATGCTGTGGGGGGTCCCACATACAAAATAGAGGAAGATTGGCACGGATGTTAGCTCAGGGACAACCTTCCTCACCAAAAAAAAAAATAAAAGTAGAATATTCTTTTTTTTTTTTTTAAGATTTTATTTTTCCTTTTTCTCCCCAAAGCCCCCCCGGTACCTAGTTGTGTATTTTTAGTTGTGGGTCCTTCTAGTTGTGGCATGTGGGATGCTGCCTCAGCATGGCCTGATGAGCAGTGTCATGTCTGCACCCAGGATTCTAACGGGCGAAACCCTGGGCCGCCACAGCGGAGAGCGCGAACTTTACCACTCAGCCACGGGGCCGGCCCCAAGGTAGAATATTCTTGATTAAAACATTTTTTTTTTTTAATGGGGTTTGCTACTTAACAGCAGGGAAGAATCACAAAGCTACTTGGTTCCACTTTGGGCTGAATGGATTCTCGGGAGCCGGAGTTGCATCTGACAGGCTGGGGCCTGCAGGCACCCTAACCTGGGTGGAGCGGCACGGGAGCACACCCAAGCTGTCAGGCTGGTCCTTCAAGGCTGCTTGTCCTCCCACTTGCCTCAAACACCTTTGGACACCTGACAAATCCTCATTCAAAGTAATGTGTCCTCTGCCCTCCGCCTTTTGTCTACCTGTCTAGCTATGGCAGCCTCCTTCCCCACCTGTCATTCTGCCCCTGCCCAGCTCCACAGAGGCTATTCTCTCTTATTTTCCTGAGCTCAATACTAATAAAATGCCCTGAGTTTAGAGACTGCTTCTTTCCCTAACGGCTTAGACCAAGCCCCTATGGGGTCGCCTCCTAGAACAGTATGAAGAAATGTAAAGGGATCCTTGGCTCAGAAAAGGACACAAATAGTTTCCGAGCTCCACCATTTGCTGTATGATTTTGGGTAAATTACCCCCATCCCTCAGTTTCTTCCTCTGGACAAGAATTGTTGTGGGAGGATACATGAGACAAATGAGTGTATAGCACCTGGCTCAGTGCATGGCACATGGTCAGCACTCAACACTCATCATCATCGTCATCGTCATCATTCGTGTTAAGGACTCTTGCCCTAGATCCTGAGGTGGTAACAGAATGCAGCAACCTCGGTTTTTCAAGTAGTTGTTCTCTTGCCTTTTCCTGACACATAATTTTGTCCTCTTATCCGGTCATATAAAAACAAAACAAAACAAAACAAAACAAAATAACTTGGGTCTTTTCTGGGGAAGCTGAGGGACGGGAAGGGATCTTTTGGGTGTGCACGGAGTGGAGTCCATCTAGGATAAGCCATTGAGTCAGTGTTTCACGTCAGTGCCGGGGCGACTAGGTCTGGGAGGCTGAGGGAAGGGTTGCCTGAGCACGGAAGAGGGAAAACTGGGGAGCTGAAGTTGAGAATTGAGAATTGGGGTGTCTTAAAAATAAAAAGGGTGGTGATCATTTCGCAATATGTACATATATCGAATCATTATGCTGTACACCTGAAACGAATATGTCAATTGTATCCCCATCTTTAAAAAGTGAAAAAAAAAAATAAAATGAATATATATTGACATTTTTTTAAAAAAGAGAGACTAGTGGGTGTATCAGGAATCTATTTATTTGGGGACCGAGTGAGTTAAGTGAGCCAGGCAGGAGACAGAACTGAAGTGGAGGTGGCTTGAAGAGAGGGTGAACGTCAGAGGCACGTGTGGGGAAGGGAGCAATTGCTATGGTGGGGTTCAGGGCTGGGGGAGTCAGGGCCCTGAGGACACGGGGCACACTGAAGCGGGACAAGGGTAAGAAGGAAAAGGCGCCCTGGGACGCAGGTGAAGTGAAGAAGCTGTGTTTGGAGGTGGGGAGGGATACCAGGGACCTGACGTAGCCTGAAAGTTGAGGACTGGGCAGTGAGGGGGAGGGCCGGAGGGCTGGGGTCTGCGGGGGGGCTCTAGGCTCCAAAGGCCGGTGGCCTGCTCTCTGGGCGGAGGGGAGCCGGGTCTGAGCATTGAGGGGGTCTCAGGGTCCTGGCATGGCGGGGACCTCTGGACTAGGGAAGGGGAGCGTGGGAGGGGTCTCTGGGCTGAGGGGATCTCCAGATCCCCGGGATCCGTGGGGGCCTCCAGGGTCCCCCGGCGGGTGCAGGGGCTGGGGGCGCCGAGGAGGCCCGGGAGGCCTGGGTTCGTGGGCTGACGAGGACGGGGGGGTCAGGGCCCGGGGTCTGGGGAGGATGAGGGGTCCCGGGGCCTGGGGGGGCGGGGTAGCTGAGGGGTCCCAGAGTCTGGGGGTCGGCGCCCGGGGTCTGGGTGGGGGCTGAGGGGTCCTGGGGACTGGGGACGGCTGAAGGGTCCCGGGGTCTGGGGGGTGCTGAGGGGTCCCGGGGTCTAGGGGGGCTGAGGGGTCCTGGGGTCTGGGGACGGCTGAAGGGTCCCGGGGTCTGGGGGGTGCTGAGGGGTCCCGGGGTCTAGGGGGGCTGAGGGGTCTCGGGGTCTGGGGGGGTCTGAGGGGGTCCCGGGGTCTGGGTGGAGCTGAGGGGTCCCGGGTCTTAGGCGCGCTGAGCCGTTCCGGGGTCTGGGAGGGGCTGAGGGGACCAAGGGTCTGGGGGCTGAGGGGCCCCGGCCGGACGCTCTGGCTGACGAGGGCCGGAGTCGGGGCCCGGGGTCTGCGGTCTCGGGGACCCCGGGGTCTCCGGGCGCGGGCGTCCCGGCCCGGCCGGCGCCTTGGCGCCGCCCCGCCTGACATCAGTTCCTGCCGCCGCCGCCGCCGCCGCCGCGCACAGCCCGCGGCCTCTTCCCCGCCGGCCGCGCTCCGGAGCCGCCGGGCCGCGGCGGAGCGAGGGGCCGGGCGAGGCGAGGGCCGGGCGGCGGGCGCCGGGCCCGCGGCCGGCACGACGGAGGCCCCGCACGGCCGGCGGCAGCGGTTGGCGGCGGCCCCGGGCCCCCGGCGCGGGAAGCGGCGGCGGCGGGGCGGCGGCGGCGGCGGCGCCATGGAGCCGCGGGAGGTGAAGGACCGGATCCTGGAGAACATCTCGCTGTCGGTGAAGAAGGTGAGCGCGGCCCGCCCTCCCCGAGCCCGAGCCCGGCCCGCCCTGCCCGGACCCCCGACCCCATCCCGCGCCCCCGCCTTCCCTCGGGTCGCTCGCCCGGGCCCGGGGTCCCTCGGGTCACCGGGGCTCGGGCACGCCACCCTTCCCCTCAGCGACCCCGGGGGCGAGGAGCCGCCAGGAGCCCCGGGCCGATGGAGGGGAAGCGGGGCCGCTCACGTGAGCGCCGCGGCCTCCGAGCTATTTTTAAAGAACAAAGTTGCGGTCAGCATCCTCAGAGCTTCCACAGGGCAGCCCGGGGGCCCTGCGTCACTCAGAGGGGCCGCGACCCGCCAGTGTCCCCCACTTGAGCAGCAGAAAGGCCCTGGGAGGACCCGAGCCGGCAGCGCATCCCTGGGCGGCCTCCCTGCATCCTCATCTCCCGGCTTGCGTCTGGCAGAGTCCGACAGTCAGGGTCGAGGCTGGTGATAAGCAGCTTCCAGTTTTCCCAGTTCTGGGTGACATTGCCTCTGGTCCTGGGAAGTACCCTGAATAATCGTGCTCAAGAACGGCAATTTTGAAGAGGCTCATTTCAGAGCTTTGGTTGAGAACCTGAAGAACTTGGGGATTGCAGTTTGGATGGTGATGGGTGGAACTTGGTGACACCACAGACACCTTGCTGTGTGGGGCTCCACACAGTTGGAGTGTTTGTGGATTTTTTCCTAATCTGCATTCCTGGCACACCTGATAGTCTCAGAAACTGGAGGCGGGGTGGAGGGGATGACTTGGGGGAAAAGCCTCATCAGATTATTTGAATCACTTCAACAAATCAAATTGAAGATAATTAAATCAACCATTATATTTAGATAACTTTTCCCCCCACTTAAATTCCTCAAAAGTAACACAGGAAAGCAATTTTACCTTTCATAAAGATCAATGTGGCTTAAAAAGAAAAGTAGATTCAAAATGCTCTTACTAAAATGTTCCTCTAAAAGGTAGCATTGCAGACATCTAACAAAAGTTTTGTTTATTCAGTTTTCTTGAGCTTTGCTGATGCAATTGAGGTATAGTTGTTGTTACTCAAGAAGGATGAGCAAACACTTTGTTGAAGCAATACGTCCTTAGTAATGGAAGACAAAGGAAGATCACCAACCTTTCTATTCTAATCGGGGCTGATTATGGCTTCAGGGAGGCCAAGTGGTTTTTTTGCCTTTGGATTTCCAGCAAATAAATGGGGAAAGTGCTGGGTAGAAAGGGGGTGGCCATGGACACCGTCATCTGTGTAAGCAGGAATCTTTTGAAGGCAGAGATCCGCTCTGTAAATCAGGCTGACATTTATGGAGTTAGGTGTGCTTGTCAAGGTTCCTATAATTTTATGCATTGGGACGAGCAGATTTTATTGAGCTGTAATGCATGCCAGAAGATATAAATCGCACCCTAGAAACTGGAAACCCATCCCTAGGTGCATCACGACCAAAGCACGACTAGCATCATGGTTAAGAACATGGATTCTGGACTCTGGCTGCCTCGGTTGAATCCCTGGCCTGCCTATTAATAACGCTGTAACCTTGGGTAAGGTTCCTTAACCTCTCCATGCCTCCGTTTTCTCGTCTGTAAGGCAGGATACAATTAGGTTGGTTGTGAAGATTTAATCAGAGTATGTATGGAGAGTGTTTAGCCAGGTGCTTGAGCTAGTCTTAATAAGTTGTCTTTGTTTGGGCTGTTGTCACAAACTACCATGGACGGGGTGGCTTATAAACATAAGGTTATTTGTCACAGTTCCGGATGCTGGAAGTCCGAAAATAGGGTGTCAGCATGGTTGGGTTCTCGCAAGGGCCCTCTTCCGAGTTGCAGACTGCTGACTTCTCCCCGTGTCCTCACGTGGGAGAAGGGGTGAGGGAGCTCTCCTGGGTCTCTTTTATAAGAGTGCTAATCCCATTCATGAGGGCTCCACCCTCATGACCTAAGCACCTCCCAAAGGCCCCACCTCCTAACACCATCACATTGAGGGTTAGGATTTCAACACAGAAATTTGAAGGGGAGGGGACACAAACATTCAGTCTATAGCATAAGTGGTAGTTTTTTCTGTTTTTTTGTGGTAGAGCCAATTCCTCACTTTTACAAGGTCTGAAGATAGCTAAGTGCCTCACCGCCTAAAGGCTGTTATATAACACCATTTGGACTTGTTAGCCACTTCCTTTGTTTCAGAACACTGTCTTATGATTCTTGGATCATGAAGTGCATTTGGTTTTCTGAATCAGAGTATCTGCTTCTAATAGGAGTCAGTTCAGCTACAGCAGTAGGTAAGGGCTGGTAGTCTCAGGGTCAGATTTGTCCTTGAACACCGGTCTTACCTAATAATTTGTTATATGGCGCCTTGAGAGTTCCTTTGCCTTTTTCCTTCCATCCTACCACTAGTAAAATGGTCTTGCTGATCTTTTTAGAAGGATATTGCGTGAAGAAAATGAGATGTGTATTTCCGCAAAAAAAGACCCACTGTGTATTATTGTGTTTGCAAAGGGTATTTTAGAACTTTTTCTTTTTGTTTTTTCTTTTGGTAAGAAAGAGTGGCCCTGAGCTAACATCTGTTGCCAATCTTCCTCTTTTTGCTTGAGAAAGATTATCCCTGAGCTAACATCTGTGCCAGTCTTACTCTATTTGGTATCTGGGATGCCACCACAGCATGGCTCAATGTGTGGTGTGTATGTCTGCACCTGGGATCTGAACCCACTAATCATAGGCCACCAAAACAGAGCGTACAAACTTAACCACTATGCCACTGGGCTGGCCCCTAGAACTTTTTGTTGAAATAGAATATACCTACAGAACAGTGCCCAGATCCTAAGTGTACAGCTGAATGAGTTCTCACGAAGTGAACACATCCACGTATTCAGCATCTAGATCAAGAAACAGAATGTAACCATCATCCCAGAAGCCCCCTTTTTTCCCCTCCCAGAAACTACACTCCCAAGTATAACTGCTCTCCCCAAGCAGTATTGCTGAGTTCGGCTATTTTGACACCTCGAGTTTGTGATGATGAACATGCATTGTAATATCAGAGAGGTGAAATAGCTGTTATCCGACCTGGATCCAAGGAGACCTGTGTTTTGATGTGAAGACAGGGTTCCTGGGGGTTAGAGAGAATTGGAGAGTTTAATAATTAGCACAGTTAAATGAAAATAATAACAATGACAATCAAGTTCCATATGTTCTCAAAAGGGAGCGAGTGTAGCAGAAACATCGCAGGTGCTGATAATAAAGCTTGTGGTTGCTGATTAGTTAGTAGTTAAAGAGAGGTGTCCAAGTCAAAGACAGTGTTGGCATTTTGAATTGGCGTGTGGTTCTGCTAAATAGCATCTTCTCCAGGGGAGGGAGGGCAGTGGTTTTCATGAGAGTTTTTTGTTTTTGAGGAGCATGAGTGTTGTGTACACATGCAGGATGAGCAAAAGCTCTGTGCCTGTAAGAGGCAGCCTCTGCTCTCCAGCAGTTTGTATACTGGTTGGAGGAAAAATTAAAAACGTCACTATGGCAAGGAGAAGCCCTCGGGGAAGGAGGGCTTAACTGAGTCTTGACAAATTGGTAGAATTCAGAGAAGGAGAAGAAGCGGGCATTTACGATAGAAGGAACAGCCTAAGCATCCCCAAGGAAGTGGGGACACCCAGGTTGTCTTCCGAGGACAGGGAGGAGATAGACGAGTCTCAGGAGTGCTGAGGGTTCTGTAGATGTCGCTGGGAAGTGCTCTCTGTGGAGTCTATACCACAAAGTAGGTATAAACGCAGGTGTCAGAGGTGCACAGACCTGGATCTGGGTTTGAATTCTGAGTTTGTCACTGACCGTGTTGACCCTGGAAAATTACTGGACCTCAGCCTGAGCAGTCAGAACTTACTCATAGTGTTGTAATGAGAATTAAGTTCCAGGAGATAATACACCTAAAGCATTTAGCACAATACCTGGCACATAACAAGGCCTAAATAAAATATTCGCTCCCCTTACCACTCGTAAGTCTGTGTGAACTCTGCAGTTTACTCTTGTGCGGTTTTCAGTCAGATTCTCACGCTACAATTCTGTTTCTTCAAGCTCAGGGTTTGTCAAACTTTCATAAAAGGCCGGATGGTAAATATTTTCAGCCCATGTGGTCTTTGTTGCAACTACTCTATTGTGCGCTGGCAGCTCAAAAGCAACCACAGATAATCCATACGTGTATGGGTGTGGCTATGCTCCAATAACCTTTATTTACCAAAACAGGCAACAGGCTGGATTTGGCAGGCCGTACTTTATATATGAACATGTGTGCGTGCACAAAAACGGCCTCACCGGGGATCACCTTCAGAGAAATTGGTGTGACCGATCCTAGAGTGAACCAAACCTCTCTTGTAACTGTGTTTTTGCGCATCATCTCAGGTTTGCAGAATGAATATAGGCCTTCGTAAATCCCATCACGTGTCCATGTATTTAGTTTTTCAAAAATGTTTACTGAGCATCTTCCATATGTCCCCACTGCCCTGGGCCCTTGGAGGGGGTAATAGTGAGCAAGGCAGATTAAGACCCCTGCCCTCAGGGAGTGGATATTCCAGTAGGAGGAGGCAAGTGATAAATTAGTAGACAAACCAATACCAAGATGATTTCAGATTGTGCTAAGTGTTAGGAAGGCATTAGGCAGGTACTGTGATAAAGAATTGGCAGGGGAGGGGCCGGCCTGGTGGTGTAGTGGTTAAGTTCACACCCTGCTTCAGCAGCCCGGGGTTTCACAGTTCAGATCCCGGTGCCGACATACACACCACTCATCAAGCCGTTCTGTGACAGTGTGCTATATATGAAGTGGAGGAAGATCGGCACAAATGTTAGCTCAGCAACAATCTTCCTCAAGCAAAAAGAGGAAGATTGGCAACAGACGTTAGCTCAGATCTTCCTCACCCAAAAAAAAGGATTGGCAGGGGAGTTTGCTACACAGGAGGTGGTCAGAGAA